TACGAAATTTTTCCGTTGATCTTGATCTATATCCACAAATGTGTCATATCTTACCCGAAAATCATCGAAACTCTGTCACCTTATTTCCCAATTTCTGTCAGAATTCAACGTATGGTTCTTGCTTTACGTCTGATGGTTATCTTTGTTATTGTGGTTATCCGAACAAAAATCAGAGTAATTGTGTGTCCTATCAACGACGATATACAATATGCAACTATTGTCAGAATCAAGGACACTGTGTTCAGGGTGATCTGACAAATAAAAGCGACTTTGCTTGTGTGTGTCCCAAATGTGTTACAGGTGTTTTATGCCAATTTTCACCAAGTCGTTTCTCAATCTCACTGGAATTTTTAATTGAGAAAACAAACTGGTTTCGTAAAAATTTCATTGGACCGAGTCTCTTTTTACTCATGGGTATGATCTTTAACGGTCTATCCATCATAACATTCGTACAACGGAAACTTCATCGAACCGGAATAGGTCTTCATCTTCTGTCAATTTCTGTCTGCAGTCTGTTGGTATTGATGTTGTTGTTTTCAAGGGTTACCTATCTATACGTGATACGCCGAATCATGATGAAACATAAAATAAACATGGGCGTCTGCAGAAGTCTACCATTTCTAATGTATACTTTCTATTATGTCAGTTTGTGGTTGATGGCAATCGTCACAGTGGAAAGGGCATTAGCTGCAGTCCAATATTCACGATGGTCTTCGCTGCAAAAGCCAACGACAACCACAGTGTTGATCTCTCTCATATCATTGCTTGTTTTAAGTTCGAATTACATATATATTGATCAATACAAATTAGTCAATCATCCCGATTATTCATTTCCATGGTGTATTCGTGAAATTCCACCGAGCCAACAACTACTCACACAAATTCTCTCACTAATTCATCAGATGGTTCCCTTTGTGATCAATCTAGTAGCAGCATCGATAATCATCATTGCAATCACTAGATCAAAGATTCATGCGCATAAAAAAACGACACGTAGTACTCTAATGGATCAAACACGAAAACGAATCGATCTTTTGCTGGGTCCTATCGCTTGCTTTTTGACACAGTTACCTGAAATAATAATTCTATTTCTGAATGCTTGTGACTATGATACTAATCACTGGTTTTCACATGTTGCTCTAATGACACATTACATATCATTCGCACCACACATGAGTATTTTCTTTTTGTATGTTTTACCTTCGAATCAGTATCGAGATATTTTCCTAAAGGAAACATCGTTTGGCCAACATCTATCGAACATGATTCAGTCGACAAATGATCTTCCGACGCGGACATTATAAAGACATTTTTCAAACAGCTCAAACGGGGCTTGTGTACGCGGGGAAACATAAACTCCGCCTACATTCATTATCGAGGATGTAGTTGTTGACATATTTTGAAAAGGAAAATTAAGATTTGGCCATACATTATTGTCATTTCTGTTATACTGTTGTTGTTTGATTTGTGATTGATGATTTGTTACTTTGTTATTATAAATTACTTTACTGCTTTCACGTGGATCACGATATTGTGAAGGACTAAATAACTGCACATTTGGTGGTAGACGTTCTGGATGATGCTTAATTTCAGAAATCACTTTTGAACGATATTCTTTAATGACAGCACAATTATAGTCTGTAGAAAGATGATTTCCTCCACAATGATGACAACAAATTTCAAATTCTTTATGATCTTTATCATTGTTTCTATCTTCACCGCATCTACGACATAAATGACACTCTGAATTTGTACATACTTTTTTGACATGACCTGGATAATTGCATCTTGTACAAATTAATAGTTTTGGTGCAGAAAGGTATTCATCAACGTTGAAAATAGTTCCAGATAAATTAATTATTCCGTTATTTTTGTTATTAAATTGTTCTATGATTTTTTCTAAGTTTTTTCCATTCCATAAATTATCTTTTCCATTGTACTCATATTATTTTGCTGTTCAGAGGTCATATTTCCTCATAAACTTACCAATAATTATAATAAGTTTTAATACTCCTCAGATTAAAATTAAAAAAATAAAACCAAAAATATTTAAACACGATGCAAAACACGTGCACGTATAGGTACAGTATACGTACAAATACAGAAAAAACAAGAAAGAAAAATACGTCTGACCAGTATCGTGCTAGGAAAAAGCTGTATTCAAATTTTTTCTCAGAAAGTAAATGCAAGACAATATATAAATATATAGGATGATAGAGAATTTCAAGCTCTATCAGAATATGTGATTACTTTTTTCAAAACCTATTTGTAATACTGAAAA